ATATATATATATATATATATATATATATATATATATTATTTATATATATATATATATATCCATTTCTCAGACAGGTGCTTCATGTCCCTCGCTCCGTAACTGTCCATGCTGGATCTGTCCCCGTTGTTTTAAGGCATTAGCATGACTGCATCCAGCTAGCCAAACCTGTCGAGAAGTGCTCGCGCTGGCACTCGCCTATAGAGACTACTCCTGACGAGAACGCGCAGCTTGGGGCAGAACGAATTCTGCCCATCGCTGAATGTATTTTAGGACGCTAATTGGCTAAATTTGTATGTCACTCATTTATATCTTTAATCAGCAATTGGCTAAACTGCTTCATAGACCCAACTCCTGTGGGCAGATTCTCCAGCGCCCCAGCCAGCTGAGACATGCAGACAGGCGGAGAGGACGTGGAGGAAAAGCATATATTTTAGATATCATATTTTACAAATATTACTGGGTGCATTCCATATTTCAAAAACTAAAATATAATTTATTTTTTAAAAAAAATTAAAAAATGTTGTGGCTCAAGGGGGGGCCCTAGCGCCCTCTATTGGCCAGCCGCCACTGCTAAAGACCAAAGTTTCTGGCTGGATCTGCTAAAACAAGCTCTACATTACATGAAGGATCGGATCGTCCTGGGTGTACAATCCCCCACCTCTCTTTAGCCTGAGAAGAAAAGTGACGTCACACCCTGATTGGCCTAGAGGGGAAATGCACCACGCTGCTGTCAATTCTTAATGAGCAGCCAGTCCCCACACCCTGCACAACAGGTGATCTGAAAAATCCTCCAATCAACTCAGGGGAGTTGTCACATTCTGCGAAAATAAATTGAGAAATAGGGAAATGACAGTATCAACGAATAAGGGGCCGTTGCATTTGGCTGTTATTTGATACCAATTATGCCTAATATATATCATCAAGGCAGCAGGAGACGTGAATGAGAGCAGCATGCAGGTGGGAATCACATCAACAAAAATATTATTACAACTTAGCTCATTATGATTAAATGTTATTTCATGTTTCTTATTTTTACAATAACTGTTTTGTAATTAATTTTGATTTCACAAGAGGCATTTTTATTTCAAAAATTCCCTTTGTCAAAAGTCTGTTTTATTTATTTCATAAAGGCATTTTTTGTAATGAAATAATAATAATATTTTGTTATGTTTTATTTTGTGTCACTTTTCATGACAGTGGTGTTGTCACCACCACCTCACCCATGACATCAGCCAATCACAATCCTCTTGACTCCCCTAACATCACTACCAGTTTACAAGAGGCCTAAATGTTATACGTTGGCCTGTAGATCTATTAAAAGCTAAAGGAATGGATTTGTTTCTTATTTAAGCTGCCAAATGCAAATATTTGTCACAAATTAATACATAAAACATATTGGTATCTTTAGCAGCTGATATCAGTCTATCCCTTAATCCATAACTACTAGTTGGACAGAAGTAATCTGACTTATTGAGAGCCAAGTCTAATTTATCGGACAACGTGTCAATGATGTCATGATATTGCCCCGTCTTTGCTGTCACTCACCTGACAGAAAATGAGCATGTTCCAGATTTTACAGCCTGTCCTGTAAGCAGTCAGCTTCTTCTCGATCTCCTCTGGGCAACGGACAAGCAAAGAGAAAGAGAGAGAGAAAGGTGTCACTTTTCCCACTCAGCCGTAATGATGAGACACATAAATTGGCTGTCTATCCACACACACACACACACACACGTACAAAAACAATGAGTCATCTCTGCCCTCCAGCAAACTGAAACTTATTCCACCCTCATCTTTTCGACTTTTACACTGGGAGAGTTATTTTCACTTGAGAGCTAATAATAAAAAGAAGAAAAAAAACACAGATGTCACACTCACCGAGGATGTCGTCAAACGTGGCATGTTCATGGTCCTTTAGGGAAGATTAAAACAGAATTATTATTGAATTAATTTTTCAAAAGCTTTTTGTTATGTATTTTATTTTTTTAAATGTAGAAATGACAGAGGAAAATGTATTTATTATTAGAGTATGTATTATCTGAAATTAGTCCAGATCAATTTGAAAACTGACAAAAACTTGTCTTTATTTGATTGGACAGTTGTTGACAACATACAGATGTTGATACAACTGCTAGGCTACTTCAATTGTATAGGACTAAATCATAATGTCAGTTTGACATTATTGGGATGTACTGCATAAGGAAATCATTTTTTAACTGGACCTCGTTGAATTTTAATTGAATACACCTGGTCTAAAGGGTGTGGCTAGGTATCAACCTTTTCCCTGGCACCACTATGAGGCCAAGCTGGTCCATCATGGTTAAGGATGTAAGAATATCACGTGGTATTTTCATTTTTCCTCCATCTAAAAATATTACTTTTGGTTTTTTTGCAACCAATGAAGGACTAGATGAATCAATACAGCAGAAAATGCCTTAAACCTAGACAAAGGGGTGGCTGCTACTCACATAAAGAATGGGGATGATGGAGGGGTCGTCCCTACGAATGATGTTTGGGACATATTCAGCCTTTGGGACCTTGGAGGATACCAGCTGTGGAAAATAGGACACACACAGAGAAAAACCTTCATACCCCTGGCCGCATGATGGATATATTTTGGTTGACTTCGAAATCAGATTTGTAAATTGATTGCGGAGATCCGCACCATGATTTTAGGTGGGATGAAGTCCTCTCCTTCACAGGCCGCCCTCTCCATCTCCCTCTCCTCCTCCCAGTCAGCGTACTCGTCCGCCCCTTCATCTAGAGTCCCTGAGGAGCTCTGAAGCTCGCCACCTGGCGCGCGCGCGCGCGCACACACACACACACACACACACACACACACACACACACACACACACACACACACACGGCGAGATGAAAGGTTTGTGTTAACACAAACAAGATTAGAGAGGACCGTGCTCCATTTTAAAAGCGCTGCACCTGTTATTTCATTGTTTTCCAGCAAAGAGAGGAGAGTTCTAATCAGACAGCAGACGAGACAAAACGACACAATAACGCTCTCCTGATGCATCCAGACGGCTACGATACACTGTAACAGGCAGATGGACAACCGGGTTGAAAGATGAGGATGGCTGAGTGGATGGATGGCAAAAAGATAAGAGTGGAGACATTCAGATAAACTGGAGACACACAATATCAGTCGAAAACTACAGTAACAAAGGCGCAATAGTCTTGTTTGTTCAGAGGGTTCCAAACTGACTGAAATTATATATTAAGTGTCAGATGCCTTAAATGCTAAGGACAGGTGCTTCATTGCTTCCTTTTCTATCTCCTTTCGCATAGAGAACACTGGACCATCCTTTAGCAAAGTAAAGGAGATGATGCCATCCCACAATTCCTTGAGGCAGCAACGTTTAAAGCAAAGCACCATTCCGCTGTCAATAAGATCCTCCATTGCCGTTTAATTTTATGGATAAACTGAAAACATCCTTCTTAGGAGGTGAGGTTCTATTTTGGACAGGAATCCTTACTTGAATTGTACAGCATTGAGATTGTCACTGTACGTATTTTCTACAGTTGATAAATAAAGTTGCATTTAAAAAAAAACATCCGCCGTTGCATAGTGTAAATGCAGTCTTTCCTTGACCTCATGTTTTCCATCGACGTCAACGAAAAGTGATTCAGAAAAGACATAGGACATCTTCTTTTTTGACTATTCGACCTAAGCCCATGTGTCAGAGTGCCTATATCCGTCTGTCTGTGTGTTTTTTGTCTGTAACAGTGATCATTTGTATGTTCTGTACATGTAGTTGTATAATCTGTGACGTGTTTCTATGTGCATTTTTGAGTTAATACATGCATCCAAAGTCATGTGCTTATGTGTGTGTATAAGTATGTGCATAAAAGCATGTATATTCTATGTCGAGTAAATACATTATTTTATATATTACATTACACTACAGTCATTTAGCAGACACTTTTATCCAATTACAATTACTTACAATTCAGATTCTATCACATTTCTACACCGTAGGCACAGCTACGGGAGCAATTTTGGAGTTAAGTGTCTTGCTCAAGGACACATTGACATGTGGCCAGCGGAGCCGGGGATCGAACCGCTGATCCTCTGATTGAAGGACGGCCCTGCTCTCCCCTTAGCCCCCAGTCGCCCACATTGTACGGCATTTTGTTTGTGTGTGCGTGAGTGATTAAGGGAGCGTCCACTCACTGTCTCTGGAGTCATGCAGTGAGTCAGGCTTGACGGGTGTCGGGTCACTCCATGAGCGGCTGAAACTCTTGGCTCGGCGGTCGGCAAAGGCTGATGGAATTAGGGGGGGGAAGAATGTCACTTTACCACACACTCTCAAAATGATCATCAACCCCAGAAATCACGGGTTCCATCTTGTTGACCCGGTGTGTGTAACAGCCCGTTAACTGGCCTTAGTGGTTTATTTTTACATTAAGGTAAATCAATAATAGTTTATTGATTTTCATTGAAAATATATTGTGTTACAGGTGCAACAGGGCACACTCCTGACTAGAACTGCAATTTGTGATTATTTTCTCGGTTTATCAATCAAACTTTGGCGAGAAAGTATAAAATGAAATATGCCCATCACAATTCCACAAAGCCTGAGAAGGAGGAGGACTTTAAATAGCTATTTAGTGTGCAACAGTCCAAAATCCCAAAATATTGTATTTACTATGACAGAAGACTAATAAAAGCAACAAATTCTCATAATTAAAAATGTTGAACCACCGGCTGTTTGGCATTTTTGATTAGAAAAATACTTAGGTGACCAAGCAATTACAAAATTGACAGAACGTTTTAGATATTTTATTTATTATGGTGTGATCAAGCCAATCCCAGTGAAAACCTAATCTTGGTCTTCCAGGCTGGAGTCATAGTGGTTTCCATAGACTAGAACTAGTGAGGCTATCTTTGTTTTGCGAGGCTAGGATTTCCATGTAGTTTATTTTGATATCTAACATTTTATTTAACTGAATCCTTGTCTAAACTATATTTATGCAAAAACATTACGTTTGTTTTTTTTCTTTGTCAAAAAAAGAGTTGATGCGCTAAATGACATATGGAAACGCCTTTCCCAAATAATTTCTGATGTAGCGAACTTTTAACTCACATCAGCTGTTTCGCTGTCAGCGTCTTTCTGGTTGTATATTGATATCCTCTCCGTTCGTTACTGGCAGATTACAGCCATGCAGTCTAGCCTTTTTTCACTGGAATTTGCATTTATTTTTTGCAACTTTTCAAAAGTTTATATAGAGACACGGCTAGAAATAGAGAAAACAAACATGTGCAGATGTTTTCTGGCACTCAAATTCACCACTGTTCTATAAAATGGCCTTTGAACTTTCCAGCACACAATCAATATCATGAAAAAGACACAATTCTTTTTCTAAAGCAAATTTGGCAGACACACACTGACATACACACACCGGTATAAACACTTCAGTGAAGACTGACCAAATCAATATCGACGTGGATTTTAGGGATTATGTTTCGATGGCATGTCTGATTCATAAACACTCTTGACACAATATTCTTGTAAACATGCCCAGCACTGCTGCTCCATGCATAAAGCACAAATAAATTCCGATGTTATGGTTCACACTGTTGAGGAAGAATGCATGAAAATGCACTGACATCAGCATACTGCACATACATGCACACTGACCGACTGGAAGACTTACTCTGGGCCTTCATCCTGCGGCTGCCCACCATCCTGAGCTGCTTGCGGAAATTTCTACCATTTTAGGGAAGAGAAGAAGAAGAGAGACATCAAGAATGAGGAACAGAACAGAACAGGAAAGTCTAGTCAGAGCAGTGACAAAAAGATTGGTACCAATATCAGCTCTGAGTCTCCAGTATCATACGCTAATGTGTTAGAATACATTAAGCTAAAGCGTACCTCATGTATTATGAAGTATCTATTTATTTTCTAGAATAAATAATACTTTGCAATACTCTAATCATTTGCCAGAACAAAAGTATTTCATCTGCTGCACAATTAAAAGTTGTTTTACCCTTTCACCCTTTCTATTTCCTGATTCAAACAATGTTGTCAGCTGAAAATGAGGTACATCTTGCTTAATTTATATGATGTGAACCTTGACAGTTTTGTCATCAGTTATATTTGTCTACATGAATGTAACTTCCTATTACTTTTTACAAAAAAAGGTAAAATGTATAAAATAACGCGTTCGTATTTTACCTTTCTTATTACAAACAAGCAATGACATTTCCAGCTACCTGGATAGAAAACAGGATGCAACTTGAGAAACCAATTAAAAATATTTTTTATTGGCCAGCAGGTGGAATGACATTTTTCATCTACATGGGCTTACATTTTCTATTTTTCCTTAAACCCAATAACTAGTGATGAAAAATGTGTTAATGTCTTGACCTTGTCTATTCACCTTGCATTAAAATGTGTTTGGATTGCAATTGAAAAGTAGTTTAGACCACCAGTAGACCACGTGAAAGTTCGGGTCTATTGTGATCCGTTTGCCGGAACCATCTCTGGAGGTGGTCAGGCACGCCTTGTGACTGCATTGAGTACTTTAAGTTGGACGGCGCTATCTGGTCTCAGTGTGGACTCCAGAGACACATATTAATACCAGGTGTAAATGTAGTCAGGTTAAATCACATCTAGATACTATCTGGATATGAAGCACATTTTATTGAAAGGATTAAAGTCTGTCTGTGATAATCACTTTACATACTGTGTGCTAACATGTTAGCATTGAAAGAGGACAGAGCTGATATTGAGGTGGTTTTGGTGCCAATCCTTTGATTATACACCAGGCCGGACTCTCAAGAAGCCAGTATAGTGCTTTATAAAGTGTTTGAAGTTACTCCGACATGTCATATCAAACTTCTTCAAAAACTCCGACAAGGGACAAGCAGTTTTTAGACTCATTCAAAAGGCTATTGTCTCAAATGCAGGTTCCATCAAACTGAATTAGTCTTTTAGTTGTCTCTATTCCATCTTCATCTTCTCTTTCTCACCCTGCCTGGATTTTCATTTTTTTTTAACATCAAAAGCATTGTATTCTGTTGGGAAAAATCTAAATTACTAATTAGTATGCGTTTGATAATTAGTGAATGTTATACATTTAACAGAGGCTCATGTCCTCTGTAGTGTTTAAGGCCTGTGTCCTTGTGTGAACTATCTGGGACACCAGGCATCTTCAGCAGATGTTTAGTCTATTAGGAAGCAGTTGATTGCAGAAAGAACACTTCAGCCGTTTGTCCTGAATAAGAATGATAATAAACTTGTAGAAAGCGTCAATACTTACGCAGGGCTGATTTGCGACCATGATTTACAAGAAAGTGACCTTTGTACTAGAACGAATTGTTGAAGTGTCCAGATACGTAGACGCCTGTGTGAAACGCAAAATGTGTGTGTGTTACCCTGTGCCAGCCCACTGCATGTTGTTTACTTAGTATAAATACCAGAGACTCGGAGACAGATCTTCGAGCGGTCTTGATGTACATTCTGTATGTGAATCAACCCTGTCTCCTTCTTTGCAAAGAATAAATGTCTGGTGTAAATGATTTTTACACCAGTCTCGAGTGAATTTTTCTAACATATTCTTACCGCTGGAGATAGAAGAGTGGGAGAGCAAGAGAAGGAAAAGAGAAGCAGGAGAGGAAACAGTGGAACAATGTGCAGCCTAAAAGACAGCTTTTCATTATCCATCATTGTCTGACTGTGATGGTTCAGGGCAATGCAAGTAGGCCTCGCACTCACTTACATTTTGGTCATTTATCCCTGAATATATATTCCACTATGTATATCTGCATATTTTAAATATGTTTATTGATATTTTATATTTTCACTCTTTCCTTCGTACTGCACAACAATACATAAAATGATACCTCATGTTATGTTAAATGTGTCACTCTTTAAGTGAAACTACAGTATGAAAGCAAGAGCTTCTTGTAGCAAAAAGAACGATTATTTTTATTATTTCAATAATAAATAACTTTAAAATAAATCGATGTATATATTTATTACATTTTGCTTTACAAAGTTCGTAAAGCTGTGTTTCAGTCCAGCCTCATATTATTAGAACGAATGCCATTCACTTCTGCAAAGTGAGGCATACAGCTTATTTATTAAACACTGGTATCGGATCAGTACTCGCTATCAGCCTATACCCAAAGCCCAAGTATTGGTATTGGGACCGAAACAGTCAGATCTGCACATCCCTAAAAGTTCACCCCAAAATCAAGAATGCATATTTCTTTTGACATGTAGTGAAATTGTTCAATCTAGATTGAACAATTTGAGTTGACTAGTTATGGAGATATCTGTCATCGAGATGTGTCAGGGACAACTTGCTTAGGAAGGTGAAGGAAATTGCAGTAGTCCAACTGGGATGACATATAAACCTGATATGAAAAACATTTAAATTTACTAATTATATGACCTAGCAAATGCAAAGCAAATGATATGAGACCCAAGACGGAACCCTGAGGCACACCACAGGAAAGAGCAGCAGTTTTAGACCAAGTGATGCAGAAAAACTCCTATTCCAGAGGCACTCACCCACTGCCTGAGCCTTTCAGTCAAGATGCTGTGATCGACCGTATCAAAGGCTGCGCTAAGATCCAACAGCCTCAAAACAGAGCATTCACCCACATCAGAAGACATCATTATGTCTTTGGAGACTCTGAGAAGACTAGTTTCAGTGGAATGCTTCAAGCGGAAACCAGATTGCAATTTATCTCAAATGTTTTGTGCAGTCAAGACAGCAGAGAGCTGTTTGGCAACAACTCTCTCTGAAACGTAGAAATAAGATGCAGCTTAGATATGTAGATCCTGTAGGTTATGGAAAGAGATGGATCAAGGTTTGTGTTTTTTTTTTTCAGAAGAGGCTGAACAACAGCATGTTTAAAATAAGCTGGGACACTACCAGATTGCAAGGGGATTTTTATTAAAGGTACCAGGCATGGACCAAATGACCCAAGTACATTTTAAGCATTTCGGAAAGTTGGTGCTCTTTTAGTTGAAACATCTGGTACTGACAGCGCACACCTGTGTGGGAAAACCTGTACTTTTTGAATATGCAAAATTATGATAGGCCTTGAAAGTGGTGAAACTGTTTTGAACCCAAATACCAAAAGACTATTACATTTAAATCATGTTTTAGTCTTCTTGCATTTTCAGTGGGTTTATCCTATTAGACATTTGTGTGAAAATGTCAACATGAGCAGATGAATTCTTGAGTTATGGCCAGGTCTTTGAACACCATATTTCAATTCAGTTCATCCTTGAGTCCAGGTGGATATTTAGCCAAGTTCACAAGAATGCAGAAGAAGAATAATGCCAGGGTGTTAATGGACAAAGAAACATGACCTATTTTGCTAATCCAAGAAAACATTCATCAGGTCAAACTACAACTACTGCTTCTCTGATGTTGTAGGAGACATTTTCCTTGTTATGAATATCGGACCCAATTAAACAGGCATTGTTGAGTTTACAGGCTAAGGGAGCTCTGAGGTGAGCTAAAAAATGATGTAAAACAAAGCTGAGAAACTGTGATGAGGTTCGTGACAACAGATATGGCTGGTCCACAAACTCCACTGCTCATTATTTTTAATAGGACCCACCTGTAGTCAGTTATTACTAGCTTTTCCCATGCAGTCACTGTTGTTTTTGCCACTCCAACGGACATCATCACTGAGTCTCATCACCAAAAAGCCGATATCAACCTGATGATATCGTTGAAATCCTAACCAAACAGCAGCTAGGTTCATCGTGCATTTTCCCCAGCTATTTTGTAACAGTTCAGTTTGGAGGCATTCTACAAAACAGCGTTGACATGTCAGTGTGGATCGCAGGAGTCGTGAGGGCAGAGCCTAAAATAGCAGGATGACTCAGAGGAGAGGGGGATCCATCAGCCAGCCAGCGTTCTTTTAAAATCACTAACACCCGCGCATCAAGACTACCGGGTCAAATTTAAGCTGGTGTGTGTGCATGATAACGCAAGCGTGTCTGCAACTATCTCACCCAACCCTCTCAACCCGGCTGTGACCTTTCCAAAAAAAACTAACAAAAAAACAGAATGTCTTGCCTATTTGAACATGCATAATTTGATTTTGGGAAACTAACTGAGATGTACCTTTCTATTAAAAGCGTTGCATTCTGTGACACAGCCCTGAACACACACACACGCACACACATATATATAAAGAAATAAAATGCTTGTTATAGGACTTTCAACACACACACACACACACACACACACACACACACACACACACACACGCTCAAACATTGAATGGCATGTCTCTGCCTCGGTGGATGTGAGGTTGTTTGCCAAATATTGATTGATTTGTTCACTTGGAGTGCTCACTGAGCAGTCAGCTATACACCCGTATTGACAGACCCCACTTTGACACTTCAATGTTCAGTGAAGAACACTGGTTAGACCTGCAACCAGCGCACACACACACACACACACACACACACACACACACACACACACACACACACACACACACACACACACACACACACACAATACTGCAAGGGGAATTGTGATGTCCCTCAACAGAAGTTGAGAACAAGACTGCATGAATGTTTTTTTTCATGTGTATAAGCATAGAAACTATTCACCAACATGTGGTAGCAGTGGAACAGGGCACAAACAGAGATGAGAAAGTACTTGATGAAAGAAACCTGCCTCAAACGTGACATCGTTTCACTTTTAATCACAACTAAATTAAGTCAAGTTTCATTTATCAGTCTTTCCTGTGCCTGCTGTAGACAGTGGTGTTGGTTATAACATGGTTTTGTATCCCCTTGCTGGCTATCAGCAGGCGTTAGGCACCAAATTACCAGTAGTGAATAGTGTGATGGTTCTCACAGTGGATTGCGCTGTAGGAGGCACCTTTCATTCAGCAAATGGACTGTATTTGTACAGCTCCTTTCTGGTCTTCCGACCACACAAAGCGCTTTAACACTACATGTCATCATTCACCCATTCACACCCATTCATACACTGATAACAGGGGCTACATGCAAGGTGCCACCTGCCCATCAGGACTCCAACTAACATTCATACAACATTCGCACACCGCAGGCACAGCTACGGGAGCAATTTGGGGTCGACATGGACTAGTGGAGCCGGGGATCGAACTGCTGATCCTGTGAGTGAAGGACGACCATGCTCTACCTAGTAGAACAGCTAGTCGCCCAGCTGCGGCAAGCTGCTAGCTTCAGGAGCTAGAAAGTTAGTGTTGATTTTAGCTTTGAACCACTATATTATACAGAATATTATTATATGATATATAATATATTATTATATTATACTGAATTGCCTGTGAGGGTGACAAAAATAAGATGTCCTGACGTGTTTGTTTAAGTGTTATTTACTGCTTTTTTTCATGTTGGAATAAACATAAAATATTTAACTGCAAAGTAGTAATGCGTGTTTGATACCTTAATTTTTTTTGCATTAAATCATTCTGGGATGTTTGCTGAGATTGATTGGATGTAGCACAGCCCTACCTAGAAAATGTCCCACCAGCCGCCACTGGTTTTTATGAATCCCACTGCTCTTCTTGGCAAGAAGTGACGTTGTGCAGCATTCAAACACTAGGATTGGCCAGGCGTCCATGTCGCCAAGATACTGGTAACCTGATTTGTTCGGATCCTATGCCCTGACCAACGTGCTATACTGATCCTCACTACTCAAGGTCAATTCCTAACCTTGACCTCTGTCTCAACCAGCTACAGAGGGCGGGTCTTGCCAGTCTGAAGCATTAGAATGGTAGCAATAACCACTGATAAAGCCCATTCAATCGGCTGATAACATTCAAAGAATGAATAATTTTTCATTGTCCAGCTTGCATCAGTTGAATCAATTATATCATTACAAATTATTGTTATATACTGCTGGGAAGCACTGAAAAACACTAACAATAGTAATAACTAATAGTGCTCCATCCTCTCATGGCTTCCCATCATACTCAGTTTGCTCAGTTGTCATGGTGATGGCTCAGTGAGATGTGATTGAGATTATTTTGTCAAGAATTACCTATACTGTCGCAAATTGGGTAAATTCAACTTAAATAATGTGCACTTCTACAGCACTAATTCCATCAGTAGAACAACAACGTCACATTACTGCCAAGGAAACTCAATACTCGGTGAGGGAGTTTCAAATTAAAAGCCTACCAGCAGCAGGAGGTGACGATAAGCCGCTGTAATGTTTCAGCTGGAAGTGTTGACTTTCACAGACAGTAGTTTAAGAGAGTTATAACATAAAGCAAGTAGAAAGCCTGGTTCTATAAATAAAGATGAGGTTAAACATCTGCCAAGCGGGCTATTGAGAAAAAAGAGATTTTTAGATCTGATCTGAGTCTTGTCAAGAGGAGTATTGTTTTTTACTGTGTCATATAGAGGGGAACTGTCACAGGGACGGATTAGCACCACACAGGACGGGACAGGACAGCCAGGACACGGTACCTCTCCATCATGGTGGCTGCCTCCTGCTCTCTTTTCCGC